GGGTGTACTTTGCAATTATGAACCCATTTCCTGTTTGTGTCGAATATATGATACTCCATAAACAATCATCCAAATTAGTAATGATGTTTTCAGCTGATTTGAATATTATTTCCCAGAGGTAAAGTTAAAAAGAAGGGGCAGGCGCGAATGAAACAACCCCGATTTGCATTCATGACCAAAAGCGAAGTTGATCACCTGGAAGATGGTTACAGGTGGAGGAAATATGGGCAGAAAGCTGTTAAAAACAGCCCCTTTCCCAGGTCTGATTTAGTTTTTTCCTCAACAACCTTCGAATCAATCAAGTTCCCTTCAATTACTCTGCTTAACACCAACATAATAAACTTGCCCAGATTCATAGTGACTCTGGTCAAGTGTTTGGTCACTCAATTTGTGATGCATACGAGGTGTTCGATGGTTTGTGCAGAAGTTACTACCGCTGTACGAACACCAAATGCACAGTGAAGAAGAGAGTGGAGCGGTCCTCGGAGGATCCGACGATTGTGATCACAACGTACGAAGGGCAACACTGTCACCACACTGTTGGGTTCCCCAGGGGTGGTGGGTTTATGGGTGAGGCAGGTGGGTATGTGGGCCCCTCCTCATACCCATTCACCTCCCAATTCTACCTTCCACCCAGGTTCCACTTTCCTCGAGAAGAGATCGGTTCTCTTCTGGGTATGGGTATCCCTCACTTGGGTCAGAAACAGGGTTGCGGTGGTGGTAATAGTAATGGAGCTGCGAATGTGTTACTGGCTGACCCGCCACAACTTCCGCCGGATGAAGGCCTGCTCGGGGATATGGTGCCCCCTGGGATCCGAAACAAGTTATCCTAATATCAAGGTATGGTACGTGTATATAGAGACAACCATAGTGAGCAAACCAACACATAGAGACAACAAAAAATAGTACTGAGTACTTATAATTCATGCTGACTTACCCGCCCGTTTACACGCCGAACTTCTTTTATCCGGAAATCAATTGTCTATGCACATACAAAACACATCTGGTGTGTAAATGAGCGTGTAAGTCGACACGTACAAGTAGCATTTTTGTAGAGACAATATTTAGTAAATATTCCACTTGTAACACTTTCATATTCACGTTTGCCAAAGTTCAACTCTATTAATATATATTTAATCTGATATCAATACAAAAATATAGAAAAAATATGATTTTCAAAATTTAAAATGAGACTAACTTGAAAAAGTATTTTTTAAGTAATAAATTTTCATTTACGTAGTATTATAAATGAAACGTAGTTTAAGTGGAGCGTGCAAGTCCAATAATATATGTTTCATTAACTTAAAAACGGAGATAATATATACTACCTCCGTCCCAAAATGATTAGCCAAATTCAAAACTTTGACCATTTATATATATTTATTGGAAATTAGTTATAATATAAAAGTTATATGAAAATGTTCTTTGTTAAAAGTACTTTTATAAAAGTATAAAATTTATAATTTTCATATTATTATACTAATCAAAACCATGGTCCAAATTTTGAGATTTGGCTAAACATTTTGGGACGGAGGTGGTATATATTTTGAGAAGAGTATTGCATTCAAAAGTATTGGACAAGTAAAATTTTTAGACAAACATTCACACATATATGTGGGGTGATAAGTGGAGTATATTTTTCCATTTTTTTGAGTGAGAGAATCCTCACCCTCTATCATCACATCCCTTGAGAGGTCAAAATTCCACTCGTACTCTTGGATAGAGACCCTTATGGAGTTATGGATAACACCTTGTCTCTTTAGTTGGCTGCCCTCGTGTGAATGAGAATTAGTTTTTTATGGTACCTGCTTGAAGAACTCTTCTACCATTGGTGTATATTCAGTACACTTTTAACAAGTAGCAAAAAAGAATAGGTACAAGGATGTTCTCGAAATGTTTTGATTTTTACTTAAAAAGTTTATTGGGGACGACCTTAGATGTTGGATGTCACAATAATCACTTTTTAACGTGCCTTTATATACACACAAAGTGCAATTGGTATATCACTTATTCATGAAAATGATACCCTTTTTTGTAAATATACTTCAGATCATGGAATTGTCACTAAATTTATATTTTTATCACTATTGTGGATATATTAATGTCAGAAATTATAAATGTTAAACAAAGTTTATATGTTAATCCCCATCATCAATCTAATTAAAGAAAACCCATACATTCTAAATGTTAAAGTTTTTATGTCCACATTCAAAGATATATAGTTTTTCCTGGCCGGGGAAGTTGCACCATAGGAGGTGTAGTCATGATTTATACAGTGGTACATGGTTAAACATCTCTATTGTAAAATGTTTACAACCCCATATGGGTATATCGGTATATGTATGTCGTTTTTGCTAGTTATAAACATGGTAAGAAAGTGGTTTTTCTTCTTTCAAAAGTTAAGGTAAAAAAGTGTGTTCCTATCACTTGATTACTTGAATGCACATCCTAAATAGAATACTAAAGGGACACAACTTAATTCTCAGTATCTTTTGGCAATTTGTGCAGATGAAGTGCTAGGATATTGTACTATAACAATTATAAAGCTCATGCTAAGAAGCTGGGATGCAGATCATAATCTGGGCTTAGTCGACTTCAATTTGTTTGGTAAATAGCTAGGCATGCCCCAAGCCCCTTGGGTTGGGTTTTAAAACCAGTAGTTTGCCTATTCCGGCCAGCCAGCACGATTCACATACCGGAAAGAAAGTCGAGAATCTTCTGTCGATAATTACCAGTTTGCATCTGATCATTTATCCACGCATATAGCATAGCTTAGGAGTTGAATCCTAATTGTGATAAACTTACCACCCTGATCGCGATTGTGATGTAAATATGTAGCTCTAGCTAATTAAGTCTGGGTTGTTATTTGCCTCATACATGATGTATCCCAGTTAGTATTAGTTTACTATTACTACCTTAATTTGATTTTCTTCTTATTACTCATTAGAATCATACAATTTCAATTTTCTAATAAGCGTGCCAAGTAAAATCAAGAAAATAATTTTGATGGTATCTCAATGCATATTTTAAAGATAAGAATATCAATTTTTGGAAATTCTGCTATATCATGGTGTTGGTGAAAATGAAAGTCAGATGGTTGCTACGTTAGCTTTTGGAATTGCCTTATTTTGTAAAATGTATGTGTGACTACTGACTTGTCTACATCTTAGAAATGTTGTGAATTGTGAACCAGAAGTTTTCATGTCCTCATACAAAGAATCTCTCAAGTAATGGGCTTGATATCGGAAAAAATAAATGAAGCACACCAACATGCTTATTACCGAGCACACCAGCGTGATAAATGTCCATGATTTTCTAAATATTTTGGAGGAATGAATATTTTGGAGGAATGAATATAGGCCTGGACTCGGGCCGGTTCGGGCCCGGTTCGGGCCTGGGCCCGGCCTGGCCTCGGGCCAGGTAAGGGGAGGCCCGAGCCCGAACCGCCGGTGGCCGGTTCCGGTTCCGGTTCCGGGCCAAACTGGGCCGGGCCGGGCCGGGCCGAACCGGCCAATTTTTTTTTTTTTGTTCTCCTATTTAATCCCCTACCCCTCCCCCTCAACCCCAAACCACCCCAAACCACCTCAAATGGCCCAAAATACCTATTCCAACCCAAGACTTAAAAAATTTTTCAAAAAAAAAAAAAACAATTAAAATCCGGCCCGGACCGGGCCCGAACCGGCCGGGCCGGTTCACCATATGGAAGGCCCGGGCCCGGAACCGGGAACCACCGGGCCGGTTCGACCCGAACTGCCGGTGGACCGGGCCACCGGGCCGGGCCGGTTGCTACAGTGGCCGGGCCGGGCCGGTTCCGGGTCGGGCCGCCCGGCCCGAGTCCAGGCCTAGTTCATCATGTCAATGTGCTCACTAGATATAACTAAATATACTACTGAGTATAAAACAAACTTAGTCCGACGGAATATAAAATGGGATAAAAATAGGGGACACAAGGATTATCACATATTGCAATAAAATTTTCATATTGAGTGGGTATATAAATATAAAATATTCACAATAAAAAACAATGGTGAGCATATACGATTAGTCGATTACTCTCATAATGAAATTCAATTTTAAGCAACTCAAAATTACAATGTAAAATACTACGTATAAAGTAAAAAATATAAAGAGTAGGCATAGAAGTGAAAGCTCATTAACAAAGTACAATATAAAAGACATGATTTTACATTCTTTACGCCGAGGGTAATTTAGGGGTAATTACCCCTCACTGGCTCACCGGAGAATAGGGGTACTTTAATAAGTTTAATACTTATTGGTCACATTTTTTGAAATTAAATAAAAATCACTTTTTATATCCAATATCTAATTTTTAGTATTCCGTAATATTTAGATAAACACCTCTAAAGAAAAGTAGGGGAAAAGGATTTTGAGGCTAGAAGCTGTTTGGTTCTTCAGTTTTGAGTCTCACGTACTCTCACTACTAGAAAAATGGTCTATAGTGACACTAAATTAGTGTCACAGAAAGTTTTTCTGACACTAGAAAAGTGTCAAAGAAGGTCGGGAATTGTGACACTAAATTTAGTGTCACAGATGAAGTGTCACAAATTTCTGACATTTTAGTGTTACAAAATACGATGATACATTTGCAACAAAAAAAATTAAAACACTTATGTGTCATACAAGTGTGTGATACATTTGTATCAAAATATTTCAAAACACAATTGTGTCAAAAAAATTGATGACACCATAGCATCATAAATCTTGATGACTTTTTTATATCATGCAGTTTACTGACACTGTAATATCATACGTTCAGAACTCATATATCCATTCAATTGTACCTCACATTTGCATTCAATCATTAGATATTTCTTTCATAAAACCCATTCAAATAATAATATATTTGAATGTCTAATTCACATTTCAAATGATTACCAAGAATTCATTGCATCCATAAGTCAAAGTAAAAAACAGCCCAACAATGTTCAAAATGGCTGCTCTTACTTAGCTACAAACATTCAAGTTCCTAAAAATACTCGCTTAGTTTAGCTACAGTTATAATACTTCATCATACAACAACACATTAAAAGCCATTCCTAGTTCAAAAACATGTGGCCAAAAGTATGCATGCCAAAAACATATCCTTCACCAAAGAGGACAAAAACATGCCAAAAACATATCCTTCTTCAAAGGGCTCCTTCAAAACAGTCTGTCAGCATCCATTGATTTAGTCACTAATCACTGCAATGAGAAAATTTTTATTAATTAAACATGAATGTAACACACCGACCCATTCTCTCGAGTTTGAATCTAAACAATAATTTGATAAAATGAAATCATGCACATACGCTTTCATCAAAGTTGCTGCATAAGAAACTTATTCTTCCCGTACTTCTAAAATATCTTGCTCAGAATACTCTTTAACAGCAGAGAACTACATCATTATATGCAAAATTAGCATTTAATGATAAATAACATAGAAATGTGTAGAGAACTGCTCTAACTCACATTGTTGAGGATAGAGACATCAGTTACCACATCTTTCATGTATTTCATCATGTAATATCCACATTCCACACATCCAACTTGTTTCGGGCACTACAAACAATGAAACACACAAGCAAATATATATATGTATACACACACATATATACACACACATACACACACATATATACACACACGCAAATATAAAAGAACTGTCTCAATACTACTAGAAATATAGTTTTTACCCTCTCAGGTCACTGCACAGAATACAGGAGTAAATAGAGGAGTTTACTACTACTCATCATTACTTGGAATTTATGTTGTTGAGTTGAACTTTACATATTTAATTACCCCATGACACACATTCTCTTGTCTGGTAATCTGAACAAATAATATCCTTCTTCCAATTCAAAAACAAAATACACACATATGTGTTCTCCTAAGTTCACCCATTAAATATAGGCTTCCAAAGTGTTATGAAAGTGTACTAATTGCTTTTCAATGTTCCAAGCTATTAAAGTGTCCAGATTACTATAACATGCCTAATCAACTTCCTACCTGAGCACATAGTAGAGTTGGACAGTGGCAAAGCCTAAGAACAATAAAATATCAGTCAATAGCTAGCAATCTATTTTCAGTTTTAATTGCAGCATCCACTTTCTTTAAAAGTCAAGAATAAATCAATTATTCTTAAGCCAAAACAAAAAGAAAGGAGGTTGCATGACAATTTAAGTTCAATAGAACAAATACAGTACTTGACCATTCAAGATACTTAAACAAGAAAGTTACTCCTTATATCCTTATTTTATCTTCTCATATGATTTGCAAGCTATTTACTAGTTTAATTTAATTAAAGTAGAAAAATTGTGACAATTATACTCACTTAGAAGTTTTCAATTATATGGCTTCCCAGTTTTCAATGAAAGTCTGGTAATCTGAACACCAAATAATATCCTTCTTCCCATTCCAAAAAAAAAAATATAATACACACACATATCATTAAGATCATAGCTCTACTGTATGGGCATAAATGAATATTACCTGAACTGTGATCCAATTCACCGTAAGCCTATTACTAGACTTAGATGCTTGATACATTTTCACTCCTCTGAAAAATAGTTAGATACATTAAATACTTGAGAATTCTGACCTGATCTCAACTAGGGAGGGGGGAATGGGGGATGGAGAACTGCCCAATCCAGAACTGAAATCAAAATGGTCTGAAACTAGGCACTTTTTTTTAACCTGATTATAAGACTCCAATATAATACTTATTAGACCAATCAGCCGCACATTATAAATCCATGAAACACAGGAGTAATACTCATGCACAAGTTGGAGGGGAAATATATACTTAACTGGGTCACAATAACCTTCAGATCATCGAGTGGAACATCTCCTATTGAATCCAAGTAATACACCCTGTCCATTTCTGGGTCAATTGCAACTAATACCCAGTGATCACTGTATACACAGAAGGGTAGACAATTAATATCATATAATTCATTTAGAAAGAATTCTATCACTATTACTACTAGAAAGCCATTAAACTTAAATATTACTATTGATTTATTTTTATTTAAAAGGAAAATATTCCTTTTATTCTATTTAATAAAATATTCCTTTTATTCATATACTAAATCTGTAAGTTTGATTATTAATATCATTATAATTAATATTAGCTTTATCATTCTTTGAAAATCTGGATTATCTGATTGTGGCTCCCTGACATTCTCATTCGCAAACAAGAGGCAATTTTGTACAGAAAACGCACCCTGAATTGTACGGGAGTAAAGTGATTTGTCCAAGTAAACCGACACCCAAAAGATCTGATACGTATTGCGACCTCCTTGTGATGGAATCATGAGATGGTCTCTTTGGACGTGGTATAGCAGCTGATGTACCAAACTGGACAGGCATTTCCCCTCCATCCTCCAACATTTTTTCATAAAGGTTCCTGCAAATCGAAAAAAACAGTGAAATTTGTACTAAAAAATCCCAAGGCAGATTCATGTATTTGCTAGACACTTACTTGCACCAAATTTCTATCACAGAGTTTGAGACCTTCTCACATTTGATCACTATGCGGCACATTTCCTTATTGAAAACAGATTTCGTTGGAAACCCAAACACCTCTGCGTCATTCGGTATCATGTACCCATCTCCCAGGCATCGCTCAATCAGGATGGAGAACATCTTCATGTTCATGCTTTGTCCTTGTCTTTTCTCTGCTATGGACCTTGTTGTTCGTTGCATAGTAAGCTTTCTGACAGGAACAGATTTCTTTTTCATTTGAGGCCTGTTGACTTTCAACACTTCCACACCATCATTCCCCAATTCTTCCTTTACACCTTCGAATGGTGTGTCAGTCTTGTGTAATATGTGTCGCGGGGATCTTCTGGGAAGCCGGGAATTTGTTTCAATCTTCTTAGGAGTGCACCTTTGAAACTTCTTAGTTTTGGTGCATTGTTGTTCTTCATCTGCACCAAAGTGGACTGCCACGGGCTCTTCTAGCCAACCCATGTCGTCATCAACATCAACTTCCTGGGAAAAACAATTCATCAGGTCATACTAACTAACTACTAACTGTAATTGAATGAGTAAAACTTTCAATAATAAATGTGACTGAAATAGTACTAACTGCAAACAACATTTACCTTTGGTGATTTTTCAGAATACACCTCTGGTTTTTTGTCCTTTCTCTGTTTGTCGGGCTTTGGTCCAGTTATTGGCGATGCAACTTCTTTCTCTACAGAGGTGTGTCTAGGAGATTTACTCAGTTGACTATGGATGCGTGTTTTCTTGGGAGTATGAGCCAGCTTTTCAACCTCTCCAGCCACCTAAAATAATCATAATATAATTGTCGGAGTTAGTGGAACGAGGTGTAAATTAAAAAATATACACACTACAAAGATAAATATAAACCTTTCGTTTTCCAATTTCACCACTTGGGGACTTCGTTGCGACACTGCAACTACCAATGTCACTACCGGCATAGGAACTCAACTGTGCTTTCATATCACGAAGTTGTTCTACCATCATCTCATATCTCTTTTCACAAATGCTTTTTTCTTTTTGCCTCTCAGACATGCATGGTTTTGGCATGTCAAAGTACATAGATGGGGTAATGAAGTGCCCCATTCCTTGTACTCGACTACCATTTGGCTTTTTTCCAAGAGCAAGTGTCATAACATCATTCACACCGCTAGCCACAAGGGAACCTTCATCTACTTTAGTTTTCATCTCCTTCTACAAAAATATAATTACAATAATATTTATTACACTTAAAATAATAACATTTATTCCTTAACAGATTATGCTTATCAGATTAGCTATACGTGCATGGTTTCAGTTTCACATTTCACATATTTTATGCCCTTTAAGCACATGAAGGTAGCAAATGATATTGAAAATTATGTTCAAGCATCTTTCTCTAAGTGAGAAGCAAGGAATAAATGCATTAAAATGCATTTAGCATTTAGCACATGAGAAGCATTCAATAAATGCAAGGTACTTCATTTATCTAAATGGATCTCTGCTGAAACTGATGCACTACGAAATTTCATAGACCACCAAAAAAAGAAACGTTTTGCCTTTATGTGAATATAGATGAAGACAACCCACATTCAGGTAAGGTTAAATCATTGAAGCAATCTTAATATCTTGATAGAGTAAAATCTCAAACTCTTTTATTTGACAAGAAAATATTAATCTATCCATAAAGAACCATGGCAGAGTAAATAATTAGGCATTCGCAAGAACCCGTACACATCATCCCAGATTCACAGCTCAATAGACATGTCAATCAAGCTTTATAAATTTACAAATTGATCAATCAAGCCCACTTATGGTAGGATCCTATAAAACTCACATTTAATTGCACAAGGTCAGTTTATAAATTTTGTTGAAAACTCTTATATGCTAACTACATCCCAGATTACGGTTACAAATTGTATACACTTATAAATGTGAAAAGCTTATATTTACTTTCACTAGCTTTAAAATAAACCCGATTTAAAATGTGAGTTATATAGACTTACTATTTTTTCTACAATAGCTTTCACTTCATCATCAAATTCTCCATCTTTGCCCTGATGGCCCCATACCCATGTATCCGCTCGATCAATGTCCACAACATTAGCTCCAAGCTCCTTTTCCTATCATTTACAAACATAAATACTTTTTTTTGGAAGAAACAAACATAAATACTTTAACAATTAAAAGTGTAGAAGACAGACTTAAGCAAAGATATATAATTGCTTAACATATTTAATGTATTTTTAATTATGCAATCATTATGCATATTCAAATTAAATTAACCTTCTTCTTGAGTAAGCCTGCATAACCAGTAGAACCCAAACGATGGTTATACTTGTTCTTTTTCCTCATATCTTTTCCTCTTTGACTCTTTACCTACAAAGATTGGAGTAAGATTATGCTAGGGAAGTATCTACAAATGAACAAATACAATATTACATTGTAATACATATATGCTACTAATACTTACTTGAAACTCTTCTGTGAAAGTCTTCTTCACAAAGACTCTCCACTCATCGGTGCGAATATGCTTATACCGTTCAGGAGGGTATCTTAGCTTTGTCAAATCATCCATGTGCTGTAAGATGAAATCATTCCGTAACTCAAACCGGAATTGTCTCAAAGCAACACTCATGGTGGCAAAAACTTGCTTCTTAGACCTTGAAGTTAGCACAAACAGTTCCTGGAAGAATAAATATTAACACAATCAGTAAAAGTGGATATACAAAATAAAAAACAATCACAAAATTCCATTCTAATACAATTTGATTATTGCACACCAAAAGATATTTCCACAACTCATCTTTGACTTTATCAGGTACATGTCGCCAGTCGTCATAGATAATCGAAACATAATCCTTTACCAAGACGCCACAGTAGTTAGTCAGGTTTGTCCAGCCATCACCGCAATGAACACCAAATGCATTCACCTCCACCGTGATTCTGTCATCACTAGCTTTCTGCAGCAACATTTTTTTCTTCGTTTTCTGTCTCCTCTTTGGCCTCATTATACACTCCTTAGGAAAGTCCTCAACATCATCATCGAACTCATCAGTATATTCTGGAACACTCGACATGGCTCACTGTAACAAGGAAAAGTAGCTCTATTCAAACAGTAACATAATGTATACAAGACAAGAACAACCTTAATTAAGAGAGGAATGTAAAGCAATTACTTACAAAGAATAAAAGAATAAAAGAATAAAAGAATGGAGTCGATTTCAGATCAATTAAGTGTAGGAATCGCATCCACGTCGACTCTAGTATAAATCTGGTCATCATCCAGATTATCCAAATCAATAACAGGCAGTGGATATTTTAATGTTAGTGGTTCATGTATAACAATTTCAGCAGATCCGAAATCTAAGTTGTTACTTGCTCTCTGACCAACTGAACATACAATTGATTTTTTAGGGTCAAGTTGATCTTTTACATAGAAGACTTGTTTAGCATGAGAAGCCAAAATAAAACAGTCATTTCTATGACCAATTTTATTCAGATCGACTACCGTGAAGCCCAATTTATCTTTCTTTATATGTCTACTATCAACCCAATCACACTTGAATACCACCCTCTTGGTCATGAGATAGTTCAAAACCCAAATTTCATCTAGAACGCCATAGAAGCTGCTGTCTTTAGAACTTGAGACTTCAATTGTGTCTGCTACAAGGGTAACACCACTGTTTTGGGTAACACGAATTGAGTCTTTGTCCTTCGTGGCGAAATTGTAGCCATTAACAATATACCCGGCATATAACGTCACACTTGTGTTTGGTTTTTTAGCTAAACACCTCACTGTTTCGTCTACAATAACACCCTTGGCAACTTCACCTCTCACCTAGAACAACACATTAGTAGTTATTAATATGTAATTATGAGAATCAATAGTTTTAATGCACGATATTAGTTAAATTTAATTTAGTCAGAACTACCTTGTCTTCAAACCACTCAGTAAATGTACGATAATGTTCTGTTTCACAACAGCCAACAAACTTCGATTGTAGGTGCAACATATGCTCCCTAACATTTAATTCAGACAATTTATTAAAAATTCAACTATTAAAAAGCATGGGTGGTATTCAAAATGTCTAACTTTAGACTTACTGTATGTAGGGCTGAACTTGTGGGGTATTAAATAAAACAGTGCGATGAGCTTGCTCCAACAATGACAAATCAGCCACCTTGATATCTCCCCTTCCCACAGGCCTTTGAATTGAAACACCATCATCATCATCATCGTCATTATTAGGTAATCCAATAGCTTTATGATTTGACAGGTATTCGGCACAAAAGTCAAGTGCTTCCTCTGCGGCATAAGATTTGGCTATGCATCCTTCAGGATGATAATGATTACGAACATATCCTTTCAACACTTTCATGCTTCTCTCAAAAGGATACATCCAACACAAGTAAGGCGGCCCACATAAACGTATTTGAGCAATGAGATGGACTGTCAAGTGAAGCATTATATCAAAAAAAGATGGTAAGAAGTATTGCTCAAGCCAGCACAATGTGACCCGATAGTCAGCCTCGAGTTTATCGAGTGAATCAAGATCCAAAACCTTCTCACAGATTGCATTGAAGAATAAACAAACACCTGTAATAGCATTCGTAACATTATCTGACACAGACAAATTTCGAATGGCCAGCGGAAGTATTTGTTGCATCAGTGTGTGGCAATCGTGAGACTTCAGACCTTGAAGCCGATTATCATCATCAGAAACAATGCTTTTAAGGTTGGAGGAATATCCATCAGGCACCTTTGTTTCAAGTATAGTTTGGCAAAATTTTCTTTTATCTTCTTTGGACAAAGTGTACGGTGCTGGTGGTATTGAACTACCATCAGGGACTAGCTTTTTCCTTATCTTGAGGTGAAGGAGATCATTTCTAGCTTTTGGACCGTCTTTGGTCTTTGTCGGTTGATCAAGTAGTGTGCCGTACATGTTCTCGCACACATTCTTCTCGATGTGCATCACATCTAAGAGATGGCGGATTAACAAATGCTGCCAATACTCCAAATCAAAGAATATTGATTTACGCTTGAAGAGCGTATTTTGGTTCGCATTCTTTTTAGCTCTTTTCCGTTTGCGTTGCTTTCCTCCACCTTTCCCGGGCTTATAGGCTACTCTCTCAACCACTTTGAGAATATCTTGACCGGAAGTAGTTTCAGGGGGTCCCCTTCGCTCTACTTTATTGTTGAAAACCTTCTTCATATCTCTAAATTTATGGTCATCCGGTAAGAAACGACGATGCCCCATGTAGGAACATTTCCTACTACATGGTAACCACACGGCAGAAGTGTTTGAGCCACAAATGGGACACGCAAAATAACCTTTGACTGTACAGCCAGACAGGTTCCCGTATGCCGGGAAGTCACTAATAGTCCACATAAGTACAGCCCTCATTTTGAATGACTCTTTCCTAAAACCATCAAAAACGTCTACACCCTCATTCCAAAGAATTTTTAGATCATCAATCAAGGGCTCTAGGTAAACGTCTAGATCATTTCCGGGTTGTTTAGGACCCGATATCAATAGAGACAGCATCATGAATTTTCTTTTCATGGTCAACCAAGGAGGAAGATTATAGATGGCTAACTGAACAGGCCAACAACTATATGAGGAACTAAGCGAACTATGTGGATTGACTCCATCACTTGAGAGAGCCAATCTCAGATTCCTGGGCTCATCACCGAAGTCTGGCCACAAATTATCGATATGATTCCAAGCTGCACCATCAGAAGGATGGCGCAGCTTTCCGTCTTTGACCCGATGATTTGCATGCCATGTCAAGTCTTCTGCAGTTTTAGGCGATTGAAACATACGCTTGAACCGAGGAATAGGAGGAAAGTACCATAACACTTTCTCAGGAATTTTATGGGAAAGAGTTATTGCTCCATTCTTCTTAACCTTAAACCTAGACTCTCCACATGTCGGACACTTCTCAAGGTCACTATAATTTTTATGATAAAGGATGCAATCATTACGACACGCATGAATTTTTTGATAATCTAGCCCTAAGACTTTCATTATCTTCTTAGCCTCATACATTGACTTGGGGATTGAGTTGTGAGGAGGTAATATCATTGAAAGAGCTTCTAATAAAGCGGTAAACCCTTGATCAGACCACCCATATTTCCCTTTAATGTTAAATAACAACATTACGCCAGACAACTTAGAATAATTAGAACCAGGGTACAAGGGTTTCTCAGAATCTTCAACCACATCCCTAAAACTTTTTGGATTGCTACCAAAGTCTTCAAACACGTTGTCTAACATATCCTCGATATTGGTCTCATCATGAAATGTTGAACATGATTTCCTAGAACTTGGATTATTTCCAGACTCGCCATGCCTATTCCAAACAACATATGTTTCAAGAAAACCAACTTTAAACAAATGAACTTTGGCTACTTCAGGACTCTGAAAGTCTATGTTGCAACATGTTTTGCAAGGACACCTAATTGACCTGCGGTTTTCAGAGTTAAGAATGGCGAGGTGTATGAATTCATCGACCCCATTTCGGTATTCTAAAGACACTCTATTACCATTCTTTATCCAAGACCTGTCCATCTCACTAATTCTACCTGCTATGTCAATAAAATATATATTAATAGTTAAAAACCTCTTTATATTAACTGTCAATAATGAAAATAAACTTGAGGATAGAAAGAAAATATGAAAATAAACCTCCTTGAAGAGCAGCAAGTGAGAATGAAAATAGAACCAAGTGAAGGAAATATTCTCACCCTCTGTTGTAAGAATTTTTCACTTTTTCGTGCATTTCGGACCCATAAACCTTCTATTTAGCCATTCATTAAATTAATACTCAGGAATAAACTAAACCACGTCTCAGTACTTATCTCGGGAATGGTGACATAAATGATTGCTACAAGTAGTGTTCTGTGTTCATTATGCAGTAGTTATATTGGTAGCAAAAAAAAATATAGAACCAAGTGAAGATTTATTATCCCAATTTTATTGAAATATACATTTTATAGGGCAGCAAGTGAGAAAGAAAATAACCAATTATAATGTTATTAGAAAGGTTCAGATTTGCATACATGATTAGTTGAACTTCCAAAAAAAACATTAAGGAAGTAAGGTTTAACTATCATTTTCTTACTTTGCTGAAATGTGAAATCTAATTTTACAGTGTCAACAAAATTGATTTTTGTAAAAATAAGTAGCTGAAAACTGAAAAAAAGCTGAAAACTGAAAAAAAAAACTGAAAACTTTCCAAATAGAACCTTGAAAACATATTCATGTGGAAAGAATTAATTCATGTTCATTTACAAATATTTATTACTAGCTTTTTATATTCTTTTGAAGATGTGTTTTCTTATTCTTTCTTTTCAATTAACATGTCCTTTTGTTTTCTGCACTCTTGAAAATAACACACTTGTATACTATCATTGAAAAGAAATAGATATGATCAACCATGTTATATTTCAAATTGTGTAATATTTCAAGGAATGCATATTGTGTAGAGAGCTTCTTCAGAGGAAAAAAACAAGGAATGCATATTTCAGAACGTGTTATTACTAAATGCATATTTTAGAAGCATTCAGATAAAACAAAAAATGATTCAAAGCAGACCCTGGCAAATTGGTGCATCTGTAGAGGACATACGAAACAGTAGAAATGAAGAACAAGAACATTACCGGAAAATTAATATAAACTACAAATTCTCAATTTCGACAGAATATTAACAAGATAATAGTGAAATAGTAGAAAATGAGTACACACATATGGTTGCTTAATACCTTCTTCCCGAGATGAATCTCTCTGGTTTAGCGAGGACAATTCAGGCAAAATTTGGATAGTACCCTACATGTGAAACAGTTGAAATTAAAAACATCAATAGTGCCCAAAAATCAAAATAAACTACAAAGTCGTAAATTTTGGCATAAAATTAACAACGTGAGGATGAAATGGGAGAAATTAAGTACATTTAAGTATAAAAAAATCTAAGAATCAAAGAGACGACAGCCACAAATGAAGGAGGGCTTGGCTGCCTTTGAGATAAAATAGCTTATCAAAGTTTGAGATAACAGCCTACACGCACAAACCAACTACAAATTTTGGAATACTTCTTTGTGTGCATCATTTGTAATTTTGTGTTTGAGAAACATACATCTCTGTAGTAACTTTATTCATATGAAAAAAAATAACAATGAAAATTAGAGGCCTTATCCCGCAGAATATGTAAGGATATTATATGAGAGTTCTTCCTAATATCACTGGATTCATAGAACAAGCAAAAGGAATTGCAGAATAAGAAACTGTAGTTTTACCATATTCCAAGCAATGAAGAAGTAATTGGGTAAATTAGGCAAGAAATTGTGGAATTGTAAAGTAGGCTAGGGTTAGGACAATCGCAACAGTAGTACTCAAGGGAGAGGAGGGCTTGGCTTCCTTTGCGGCCACAAATAGCAGCAAAGGCAGTCTCCGTGTGGATGAAGATGAAGATTACCTCGTGTTTCTAGAGAGAGGAGAAGATAAACGCATGCGTCGATGAAGCTAGTCTCCGTTTTCTGTATCAGTTCGATCAAACGCGCGCAGGTGCTATAGGAGAAGAGTACTGAAGATCGAGTACTGAAGACTGTAGCTAGGGTTTTTACGCCATGTCTCGATCGGTGCGGGTAGCTAGAGGAGAAGATACTGATGAATTGAAGATCGAGTGTTAGCTTAGGCAGGTGCAGTTGTATGGCTGGACTTAATTAATTGGACCAAGCAAGAAGATAAAAAAAAACTTAAGTATAGGAAACAATGTTATTATGGTAGGCCGGCCCAAAAAGTGTGAAGGAGAAAAATGTGGAGGGAAGATATTGGAATGTAAAATTATGGAGGGAATTAAAAAATTTCACATTTAGTATCAGTATTGTTGTTGATAGCATAGTGTCATGAGTTATTGACACTTGTCTGTTAAATTTTTAAAATTCACTTACCAGTGACACTTTTTTAAAAAAGTGTCACTGTAAAAGTGTCACTATAAGGCAGATTTCTAGTAGTGTCTTTTGATTGCAGTTTATTTTAATATTAGCAATTTACTTTCACACACAAAAAGTAGGGCAAAAAATTGTCAAAGGGATCTCGAACATTTTATGGACTTTTCCCTTGAATATTACTAAATTATAGTCAATTTCAAAAAATGTGACCCTTTTTTATAAAAAGACAAAAATGTGACTAAGAATATCATATATTTGGAAAACATGATGTCACTGCAAAAAATTCATGTGACTGCCTAGATTTTTATGTCACTTTCATATGTCATTTCTAGATTTTTATGTCACTGTCATATGTTATTTTTATATTTTATGTAACTATCGAATTTCATGTCACTTTCGAATGTCACTTTTGCCGTGAAACGTGTCACTGTAATCACTGGATAATTTTCCGACGACTATTTACGCAAAACTGTGACTTCCACTACAGACTAGTGACCATCCCACACCGCCGTCGCCTACCACTCTATCGGCACACGTTACTTTTGTCTCACGTAGATCCCCCTTCCCCAGCACTCCAAAATGAGTGACTACCACATGACCACCAGTGCCTGGCACTGCCTCCGGCACCGCCCCACACCTGCGCCCTCCCCTCTGCCCCTCCCCGCCACAGACGCAACCACCACTCTGGCCGGCCACCGCTACCGTTTAGTTTAGTGACCAACACCACCACCGTACCCAACTACCGCCGACCACCACCCCACCCCGACTTGACTCCCCAGCCCCGCAATCCCCCAACCCCCTCCAAGACCCGGCCACAGCCCACAACCCCCATCGTCGTCTGCCACTTGTTTTCGATGTATCCATTTGCGCCTTCACCCACCTCTAGCAGCCGACCACATGATCTTGAAATCTAACCGTTCTAGAAATCTAACCGTTCGATGAAGTACTCCATAGTGGCATGAATCCTCAACAACTCCATAGTGGTGTCAATCCTCAACAATGGCGAAAAATAGTACGGTCTTTCGCCTCACCCACAATCGCACAAGAAGTGAAGAAATAGAGGTAGAGCTTTGTGGGGGCCGGGGTATGGAGACAGAGATTTGTTGATTGGTGAAGCGGAAAAGAGAGAAAGCGCAAAGAAAAGGCGCAGAGAGAAGGCAAAGCTCTGTGTATGGGCGAAGAGGAGGAGAGAACACACAGAGAGAAAGCGTAGGGGATGGGGAAGATTGACGAACCAGAAAAGAGAGAAGGCGCCGAGATGGTGGGGTCACTCTTTTGTCCAGATAAAAAATAGTCATATTTTTGTCCATCTCAACTCCCTACGTGATATTTTTATCATTCTTTCACATTATATACACAATAATTTCGTGTGCTTGTTGTGCACTTTAAACATCCAACAACAAAACACGTGCAATAACTATACTTTGTTTTACAAAATGACAGTGACTAATTTGAGTTTTCAAAACTGAAGAATTACAATGTTTAGTTGTTGCCTCACAACCAAGTCCGCCTCTTAGGGTTTAGAGAGAGAAGCTCTAGATCCACCGTTTCTCTCTTTCTCTCGGGAGGTCTTCGTCTAGCCTGTATCAAGGTATTTAGGAGGTCTTTCTATTGATTGTCGAGAGCTAGATTTTTCTATTGTGTGTCGAAAGCGGTGCAATGTCATACTTCTGCGTGTAAGTTTTTCTTTTGCATTTTGTTCAAATTCAGGTTCAAAATAGGATATCCATGGCTTCTTTGGATGATCTAGAGCAACATTGTTTCATTCCAGCATTGAGGAGGGGGTCGAAGAGTTGGTTTTTGGTGGTAGTGGAGGCGGCATGAGTGATGAGCAGACGGAGCACTGGAACGGTGAACGGTGCCCCCCTGAACCGCCGCCTTGGAGCGATTGTGGTGGTAGGGTTTGGAAAACTATATTTCATGAAAGCTGGCAGGAAGGAGGTTGGAGTATTTATCAGTTATTTTATTTTTATGGTCTTATTTTCCCGTTATGTTTGTCTACCTTGCTTTGTTTTTTGTTGATATCTTTATTTTAGGTCTACAATAATGATTGATAATTCTGCTAAATATTATGTTGTAGAATTATCGATATGACCAGTGATTGCTGTGTGACTATGTCACACCCATTTAGTAGTTAGCGATTTGTATTGCTCTGTCAGAAGTTATCGTTTCTAAGTCTAATTGTATGATTGATAGTGCTAATTGGCTACATATAGTTGTTGTCAGTGATAATCTCTTTGAGTTTGTTGTAACGATCAAAATGCCAATGATATTAATATAATCGATTTTTCATTTCAAAAATTACAATGGTGTTCTTTTTGAGAATCAAGTCCACTTTTGATCCCAAGAGTATTGTATTGAATCTGTATATTTTGTTCACTTTTAATACATGATTATTATTTGTTACCAATTTGTGGTCTTTTAAGACAAATTTTCTGGTACCTTTTCTACAATTTTAAGCACCAAATATAAAGATGAAAAGGCCACATGCATGTGAGATAAATACAATAAGTGCATACTAAAAGTTGGAAAAACAAAAGACATCGAACCAAATTTTATATTTGTACGATACTAATATATAGGATTAAAAAAGAAATTTTTACTCTTTTATCCACGAATTAAAACCAGAAATAGTTCTAGAATATTGACACAATACCCAACTCAGTCCTAGATAATTTGGTCAGTTTAATTTTCACCTCTTTTACCAGATTTTGACATTTAGACATTTTTTGACTTTGTTCATACCTTCTCTTTCAATTACAAGTTCACTCAGTTCATTATACCATTTCATATTTCATATTTGTAGAATTGTAGCCGCATTTGTGAAGTTGGAGAGTCTCAAAGCAGTTTAATTGTTTTTCTAAAAAAAAAAATTCTGCCCACACTCCAAAGTCCAACCTATACATCTTCAAACTTGATTTCTAGGATCTTAAATAGGCCCACACTCCGAGCTATCAGAACTCAACAGAGGTAGGGCCCTCTATATACTTTTCTGGTACAAATGTACACCGGCCCAACTAACTTTGCATGCACTTTACGTTTTTATTATTACTCCCTCCGTCCCTAAAAGGATTGCCAAGTTTGACCGGCACGTAAAATAATAAAATAAAAATTGTGTGGTATAGATTTGTGTAGAGGAGAGAGAAATAACATGAGCCACAAATTGATTGATTAAAAGGGAAAGTGGCAAAGTTTTTGGGACAACCAAAAAAGGAAAGTTGGCAAAGTTATAAGGGACGGAGGGAGTACTACTCTCTCCGTCTCTCCTATTTTATCCCGGACAACCTAAAAAAGAAAGTAAGAAAGGTAAATGGAAAGTTCTCGAAATATGAATGAAACAGTTTGAAAATTGCAAAATAGGATTGTCATGTTTTTATTCCCAAAATAGAAGTAATTACTGCCAAGTTTGGAAAATATTGTTATGTTTGAAGTCTGGTACTGCCAAAACATGACAGTAATTAATCCTATTTTAGGAATAAAAACATGGCAGTCCTATTTTGGAATTTTCAAACCTTTTTAGTCTATTTCGGGTAATATTCTCAAAGGTAAAATGTAATAGAAGAACTATTAATTACCGTAAATGTACACGGGCCCATTTCAAGCGTTGTACAACTCATTGGAAAGCTTTTATCGAGTTCTAAAACTCGTATTTGAACTTTGTTTTGGTCTTGATGCTTTGCCATGCTTCAAGTCTTTTAAAACATAGTTTGTTTCTTTATTTGCGTTTTTTTTAAAGAAAACTAATACGGAGTAGGTATCAAGCCAAATATAGCGCTCACACATAGAAACAACAGCTCTAGCAAGACCATGAGTTACCTGATTCGCAGTCCGCAAATTGCCTCACTTGAGAAAAAGAAATCCTAGAAAAACTATAAGAA